GCGGTCGGGTGTGATGTAGGTTTCAGAAAAACATTTTCTTTTTCGTGCCATCGTTTCGATCATTGAGATCATCTTCAGGGCCTGGGATTTACAAACAATGTTTACATTTAACAAACACATTTAGGATGTGGAAAAGTGAATTTATACAGTTCAAAATATATTTTATATTCAAACAAAGTATTTCTACTCACTCAAAGTGTTTGTCTTCTGTGTAATTTCGAATTTCTTTTATTTCTATCGTGGTAATATAATCATTGTCCACCACCTTCATAAACATGGTAAACTTTCAAACAATTCAATCACCTCAACAATAAAATCTCGATTGGATGTCATTACCAATAAAGAATAAACGTTTTTGACTATTTGAGAATGTACGACGGAGATGTTTACAGTGACAGAAAGACGGAGACTGCGCCAAAAAAACGAAGGTTTTACCATTCACGACTAGGCCAGCGCGCCAAAATCCCCACCCACCCTCCACGCCAGGTTTTCCCATTCAAGAACGCGCCATGCCGTCGTCGCGCCGTAGATATTTGGAGTGGCGCGATGGAGTTTGGACCGGTCGAATATTCGGCACAGCGAGTTCAGTTTTGCTATTGACGTGGTTTTTGGAACGGCGTCGCTCCGTTTGGACTGCTAGGAGCGATCGTGAATGGCCACCTTAAGGCACAGCCGGTTCAGTTTTGCCATTGACGTGGTTTTTGGAACGGCGTCGCTCCGTTTGGACTGCTAGGAGCGATCGTGAATGGCCACCTTAAGTCAGTCGAAGCGTATTCCCAGGGGTCATATAAAGTTTCGAAAATCTGTAAAGTCTCTTAGAAATCAGTAAAGTTGTTTCAAATTTATCGCCATGGTTGAGACTGTATAAAAATCACTCGCATTTGGAAAGCGACAATTTTGAAGGAAAACAATTATTTTTAAATAAAAAAATTGAATTCGGTACATATTTATGATGTAAAAAAAAGAAGACAAGAAAATTAGCTTTGTATTTTGTTAAAACAAGCGACGTTATATACGAAGTTATGTAGGTTCAATTTTTTTCATAGATTTAGACAATGTGTGAAAATGAGCAAATTTTATGACTACTTCCATTAAATATTTATTATTAATTTATAGATTTTTTAATATTAATTTAATAATTTATTCTTTTTGTGTAAGGTCTTGGTTGAGATGAAAAAGTTAGTGTCACGAGCGGGATTCGAACCACGACCTTTCGGCTCAACACCTCTCCACCAAGACTTTCATAAGGATAAATAATTTCAGTAATTAATATGGTCAATTAGACCACTAAACACAAATGGATTATTTAATTTAATATTTAAAAAAATGTAAATATTTTCTGAAATTTTGTAATTAAAGTTGATTGATTCGCATTACTAAAGAATATGGAACGTTTGTAAACATTTTATTTAGACCATTTCGGCAAGGAAATATAAAAATTATCAGAAAAAGGGTCTACACAAAATACACGTATTTTCTATTTGTTTTTCCTCCCATTTTAATGCAGTACGACAATGCCCGGGTGACCCTAATGGCCCGCCTAACGACTCGGCTCTCCTCCACTTCCAGCCGACCGGGAGACATTACGATGCATTAGATGTCCTGGCCGATATGTTTCAGCACCCGCACTCCACCCGATAAGACATAGGAACCGTTCGGGAAATGAATCCACTATACGCACCCCATCCGGCTGATAGACATCCATTTGGTGATGAGCGGGCGACGTTGTTTGCCGCCGCCGGTGGTGGATGGAAATGCACTTTCAGCACACGGATCCAATTTATTATAAGGAAGGAAAGGATCGTGCTGTGCCATGTCTAACAACAATGAAAAAGAATTTACGGCGTGTAGTTACTTTGATCTCTTTCCCACGCGTTGCGATAAATGTTACACATCATACATTATTGAACGGTACCGAAGTACTACAATCAGACATGAGAGGACAACCTTTTTAGTAAATAGAAAAATTTGGTCATTATTCTAATTTTGCAAACACTATATGAATTAAATTTTCAAACTGTCGTTCTTAAATTAAGTCAGCCATTACGTACAAATCTCAAAATGGTACATGTTTTTCCCAGTAAAAATAAACTAAATTCTTCAACACCTTTGGAAAATAAATATAATAAATACACAATATATTTATAGCAATACGGTCGAATAACAAATTTGTTCCAACTTAATTCTCAAATATTTAAATGAGTAGATATGAATACTGTAAAACTTCTGATAAAGTGATACAGGAATTCTCTGTTTGGAAGAATTCTTCTTTCACAGGAGACCTTCAAACGCAACGGCTTGAAAGATTAATATTCTAACAAGAGGAGAGGGGCACCAGGTTGTTATGGATTTTGACCAACCTTTTTATGGTGATGCTACACTCCAAAATTCGGACCAAGTATCTGCTACATGTTGTGAGTAGGCCCTGGTTTCGTAAAAAAAATTAAAAGTTGAAATTTTCCGTTTTTTTATATTTTTATTTCTCCGTTCTATTTGCTTAAATCAATATATCTTTTTCAGCACTTTTATGTAGATTTCAAAAAATACGTATTAAAATATATCAAAATTTATCAATAACCAAAAAATTTCTAAAATCCAAATATTTTTCAAGTAAACTAGGTCATAATTTTTGTTTTGTAAAACTAATTTGAAATTTCGTTTAAGCATCATTAGAGACCCCTAGATATACATTTTCTATTGAATTTAAATTTATTTATTTATTGCCCCTAAAATTTTTCCGATTTTTACGATTTGAACGAAGAAAAAAGTAGCTTTTTAACGACGTATATACGATAAACATATACAAAATATTTCTATAAGAAAATATTTTTGTCAGAAATGAAACTTGTTTTTTAAATTAAAATAATGGACCGATTTGATTCTCGGCGATAAATGAAATGGTCACGGACAGCTTTATTGAAGAGGCCAAGGGCATATGTCAAGGTCATTTTAACTTCTTATATTCACTAGTTTTCGTGATCCGCTTGACCAATTAATATATTTCAATTAATTAAGGATTTTAGTTGAGATAAATAGATTTCACGACATTTGAAAAATGGCAAAAAGGACGAAAATTCAAAAGGTGGGGTTGAGATAGGAAGTTAGTGTCCGAGTGGATCGAGGTCACGATAGCTCAAGTGGTAGAGCAGCGGCGAATCTAGCCGAAGATCGTGGGTTCGAATCCCGCTCGTGACACTGACTTTTTATCTCAACTAGAAACCTTAATTAATTGAATTATACTTAAGAATGTTATTGAAATAAAAGAAATGAAACTAAAATAACTCAGAAACACTTTAGATCAAGGTATGGTCTTGAAGAAAAAAATCAAATTCAGTTGCTACTGCCAAGCTTGCGACTTATTTTAAGGTCATCATTAGGGCCAATATTAATTTCACATTACGAAAAACGTACTTGTACTATGGATTTAACAATTTTTTTTCAGTGTGAAAATGTGGCTTCGTGGCAGCATAATCTTCACTAAACATGAAAAAACTGGCGTAAATCAAAATGATGTGTCATTTTTCTTGATAAATACTCACACCGATTCTATAAAGCTCGACGCAGAACTATTTGCCATTTTTCGTGAATGGTGACAATACGTTCCCGCCAATTCAAAAGTGACACTGTGCTTCCTAGCAGCTAAGAGTCCACCTACAGTTTAATAATTTTTTCCTGTAGCATCACACACCCGAATATTAAAAAAAACACTAAATAATCCCATTTTTATCATTTTTCGGTTTGTGTCACTTTTCTTGTGGTGTGCTATATGAAGTTGTGGAATTTGTGAGCTTTTGCAATGAGAATTACGACTTGATGCTTTCGTTATGGTTGGTGGTGGTGGTTAACTAAGTATTTATTTTACAGTATCTTTATGAATATAAAGTATTGTATTATTATATTTTGTAATTAATACATCATTAACGATATGTTTGTTAACAAATGAACGCTTATATAAAATATAAATTTTACTTGTTGTTCCATCTTTTTTTCTCATTCTATAACTATATCCAAAAATTCTATGTACACGGTGTAAACTAAAAAATTTGATTGTTTTCGTGCAGATTTTTTACAAATACGTTAGTCTCAATTTATTTAAATCGGTCCCAATGGTAAGTCGAATTTCATTAGCTGCCTTCAGCACATTGCGTGTCAGCCTAATTGTCACAAACGGGGAACAAATTGTCTTTGAATTTTCTGTTTACGTTTCGAGCCAATTAAACCAAAATTTTCGCAGTTCCGCAACTGGGCCTTGTATTAAAATTTCATTACGCTTATAGTTCGAACAAAGAATTCTCGACTCGGCTCCCATCCGTTTCAACTCGACGAGAACATTTTCTACCGATGAACAATGATTCCCGTCCAATTATTATTTAAACAATTAACCGCGAGTTTCGGCACTTATTTATTTTAATAATTCGGTTTTTAAATATTATACAGCTGCTTTAAAAACGGCAAATATATTTAAATTAAATATTTACTGTTGTACCAGTCTGCCGGAAGATGAGGTGAAATTACAAAGAAATAAAACAGTTTTACACAAAGCAACAGTTTTTCGCATTTTCCCTAAATTGACATGGGTGGGATAGAGCTAATTTTGATTCTAGAAGGCTCAATAAAACTTTTTATTTAAGTACCTAATAATCAAAATAAATATTAAAAAATGATCAAATTAAAAATGGATTTTACAATTAAAAAGGTCAACATTTGAAGAAAGCTGTCAAAAGTGCTACGATACCCATTCATCTCTTAAATTGTTGAGAATACCAATAAAATATGGAAAAAATAACGGTAATAATCATGGTACTAAATTCTTTAAAACCCGGGCATCTCCTAACGACTTGAACTCTTTTTTCCATCCTCAAATTATAGAAAATTGAACACTGGTACCAGGACGTTTTTGTTTTCACATTGAGCAGTTAATATTAGTTTGCGTTTGAACATCTCAAGTATATTAAGTACGAAATTGTCAGTCCTTACTTCATGCTTGTAACATATTTCAGATTTTAATCAACATCCCTGAAGATTACACAACGTGTGACGCTGTAGGCTTGTTCTTTGATCATTACGCCGTTAAAAGTTCTGCCAGCCCTATTTATCCATGGGAATTACGATGTTTTAAACTTCTCTTCTGTTGGACCTTTCTCAGGTGTGTTTTTCACGTTTAGTACAATAGGACTGAAGTATTTGTACGGTAATAACTTTATTATGGGAGAAAACGTACAGCGTATATTTATTTAGAAATCGTGAGATGCGGTCTGGTGTGATGTAGGTTTCAGAAAAACATTTTATTTATCGTGCCAACGTTTCGATCTTTATTGAGACCATCTTCAGGGCCTAGGATTTACAAACATTGTAACATTTGATTGAATATATAAAAAAATATATTTTGCATTGTATAAATTCACTTTTCCTCACCCAAAATGTAAATGTTATATGTAAACAATGTTTGTAAATCCTAGGCCCTGAAGATGATCTCAATAAAGATCGAAACGATCGCACGATAAAGAAAATGTTTTTCTGAAACCTACATCACACCAGACCGCATCTCACGATTTCTAAATAAATATCGATTAACGGTCACTAATCACCACACTTTTCAAAAAATCTTCGACTTTTTCTTTTATTATCCTCTTGATAGAAGTAACAGTGGTGTAATTGTGAAGTTTGCTTATTTGAATATATCTGCGTGGATCAGTAGATGCATGATAAATTTATTTTGTATCTNAAAGAAAATGTTTTTCTGAAACCTACATCACACCAGACCGCATCTCACGATTTCTAAATAAATATCGATTAACGGTCACTAATCACCACACATTTTTACAGCGTATATTTGAAAATTATGAGATAACTTGGCTCAGGCCCAGCCCACAATATTAACTTTAAAATGTATTTTCCTCAAAACCTCTCTTCAAATATTTTCATTAAAGTAATGAAATTATATATATATATATATATCATACTCACCCTTTCTCTTTCCTCTCCATTTGTTGCAAGCTTAAAATTTTTCCAAACTTTATATTTGAAATAAATCCAAAGGAAATATCTTCAAAAAAATGTGTAAGAGGAAGAAAGACACATTTTTTTTAAAGATATTTCCTTTTGATTTATTTCAAAAATAACGTTTGGAAAAATTTTAAGCTTATAACATACGTACAGGAAAACGACATCCTATGAATGGTGCTTGCTTTGAACTTGATCGTCAAAGTATCTGGTATCAACCAAAGATGAATTTCTATAGATCAGGTTATCACATCGCATTTAACAACAAAAACTTTGAACAGTTATTCTAATTTATTTAGAAATCGTGAGATGCGGTCTTGTGTGAAGTAGGTTTCAGAAAAACATTTTCTTTATCCTGCCAACGTTTCGATCTTTATTGAGATCATCTTCAGGGCCTGGGATTTACAAACATTGTTTACATATAACAATTAGATTTTGGATGTGGAAAAGTGAATTTATACAATGCAAAATATATTTTATATATTCAATCAAAGTATTTCTAGTCTTTTCTATACCGACATCCTTCCCCACTCCTTCAAAATCCTACGTATATAAACACAAAATAGCAAAATTTCACTGGCACTCTCGACACGACACGCAAGAATGGCATAATTACACAGAAGACAAAAACTTTGAGTGAGTAGAAATATTTTGATTGAATATATAAAATATTTTTGCATTGTATAAATTCACTTTTCCACATCCAAAATGTAATTGTAATATGTAAACAATGTTCGTAATTCGCAAGCCCTGAAGATGATCTCAATAAAGCTCGAAACGTTGGCACGATAAAGAAAATGTTTTGATGAAACCTACATCACACCAGACCGCATCTCACGATTTCTAAATATATATCGATTAACGGTCACTAATCACCACACAGTTATTCTAATTAAGGTAACCAATTTTTTTATGTTTTGAATCATGAGATATTTAAATTTATCGTACTTAACGAAGTTATTTGTTAATGTCAAACATCTGTTTAGGATATTATGTGAAACCAAATAGACCTTGGATGATTACTTGAAGCGATATTTAATTTGTAAATGGTAATTTGAGTTTACATGATATTTATTGCTGAATATGCCTTTAAAAATAAAAATTTAGTTTTGTCAAAATACATAGAATTTGTTGGTGCTACATAGTAATCTTTGAATTATTTTCAGATCTTAGACTGTCTTATTTGACGAGAGGTATATTTTTGAGAAATTTCTTTCCGATCTTTAGATGAAGACTAGAGATAATTTTGGCATAAAGGTCAGATCTGGGATGAATGTCAAGCCGGTCGTCTCGATGCACAGAATTTTCAACGTAGCCCATCCTGAATTTATTAAATGTATATTTCCGTCCATTTCCGAAAAGCCGGCCACGTCGTATCACGAAATGTCTCTTTTTCCCGGGTGATTTAAGGGGAAAACCGCATAAAACTGCAGGTCGATCCATCCGACATAAATCCAGACGTCGGGTTGGAATTTAATTCCAGTGCCAAGACGAATGTGCACCTGGCAACTCTTCCCAGGAATTATAGCGAAACAAGGTTTAAACGTTTACTATAAACAAGGGCCGAGTTCACCTTTCTAATTCCTAATAAACAATGTATCAACGGTGGCAAACTAAATAGAACTTGGAAGATTAAAACCCTGTACTTAATCTGGCATAACTTAAACGTTTTAATTGTTTAAATTAATGATTTTTATCTAAAAATAAACAAATTGATTAATCGATGTCAAGTGCGTCTGAACGGTTTATATGTCTGAATAAATTTAACACCGAAATCGTCTTCGATCCGTAGAAAAGTGATAATTAAAATGATTAAATTATTAATGATAAAATAAATTAATATTAATAATAAAATAAATTATTAATGATAATTAAAATGATTAAATTAATGATAAAAAATAATTAAAACTCTTACACATTTTTTTCAGGATATTTCCTTTTAATTTATTTCAAAAATAAAGTTTGAAAAAATGTTAAGCTTATAACATATGGAGAGAAGAACGTGTGCGTGGGGCTTGCTTTGAATTTGATCGTCAACATCATAACACTTACTTTTTTATCTCAACTAAAAATCTTAATTAATTGAAAGATATTAATTGGTCAAGCGGACCACGAAACTAGTGAATTTAATAAGTTTAAATGAAGTATTCACTAAAGCTCTCCGTTGCCATTTCATTTTTCGCCAAGAATCAAATAGATTACACGACATTTGAAAAATGGCAAAAAGGAGAGAAAATTCAAAAGGTGGGGTTGAGATGGGAAGCTAATGTCCGACCCGTTCGAAATCACGATAGCTCAAGTGGTAGAGCAGAGGCGTATCTAGCCGAAGATCCGAAGTTCGAATCCCGCTCGTGACACTGACTTTTTTATCTCTACTAAAAACCTTAATTAGTTATAATTTAAATCTTGCAATCTTGCACGTTGGGATACTTCTGAAAGTTAAAAAATTCGATACTATTTTCAACAATAAATTATAAATACTATTAAATTTAATACATGAAATTGCTTCAGAGTTTAAGTGATACTATTTTTATTAAGAGTGTTTTGTCTTTAGAGGTGAAAATAATTGACGTTTCGATACGAAAAGAATAGAACGAAATAATGCAAGCCGAGGGAGAAATCACAGGACACAGGGACTGCAAAAGGCACATCTTAGAGTCTCCTATAATACCCCTCCAGCCGATACGCCCTATAAAGGGATCTAAGTTACAGTCTCGAGAAGCTGTAAAGAAAGCTTTGGCAGAATGGCCCCCTACTTTCTAACGCTGAATTGTAGAAGCAGGCACAAGGCTTAGATAAAGGCTCACATTCAATTTTCCCTTTATTTAGTTATTCAACGACTACTTGTGGCTCCCTTATCCCAACTCTTTATTATTTAATGGGGTTTTTGACTTTTCCACAGCATTTAATGTCCCGCGGGTAAGGCTGTTAATTCAAAGCACCTTTCAGCCTTTGGTGCCCATATCTGTGATACATTGGAAACATCAATGCAGATAATTCCAGCAACTGTACATAAATAATAATTAGCAGTTCCCAAGCAATGCTTAATAAAAAAAATAAAATCTTTCAGTTATTGTAAACATTCTGCAACTTGACTAAACTACATTTTATCAACTAAAGAGATTTGCTGAATGGTAAATAATTCCCATTGTTAAAAAAAATTATGATTGCAGTTAATTAACCATTAATAAGAAAAAGAAAAATATAATTCCACTACTCCTCTTATAACTTTTGTCCTGTGGACACATTAAACGGAATAAAAAATCAACAATCGTAAAACCCTGTGAAAAATAATGATTTGCTTAACCCTTTTTTATTTAAATTATTAAAATTATCATCAAATCAAACTTCATCTGTGACATCAAAATCCACTTTTCGCGAGATCGAGAAACGCTGGGTTTTATAGATTACTTAACGATATTCCGGTCTTACTAATGGATTGGTGGTCCTTTCACGGAATCACATCAAAATTGCTGAAATGCGCGGTTTTAGTTTACTCATTTAACTACTGCTCATTTGGGCGTATCACTTGTTATCCATTTTTAATGATCTCTTAATTCTTCCCTTAATCTCTACCTCTATATATCTATCTCGCTTTTGTCCTCTTCGACTATAAACAAAATATTAAGCAATCAACAGTCTATCTTTCTCTGTCTCTTAATTTCTTCTTTATGTCAGCTCGATTTCGCCATTTGTTACATACCTGGTAGAATGATTCTCTTTTATGCCTTCGTTCTATCTCACTCCCTTGCTCCTTCTTATCACTCTCTCTCTCTCTCTATCTTTATCTATCTGTCGTTCTATATATCTACCTCTGTCTCTATTCGTTGTTGTTTTTAATTTTTTCCATACCCGCTAATTAGATATTTTTAATTACTTATTTTCTTTTTCTTTTTTGCAACTATTTCTTTATACACCTATCTCGTTGTCTGCTTTCATAATCTATTTATCCGTACCGAGAAACTATCTTTAATTTATTTTTTCATCCTCTTATTATCTTAATCATTTCTCTCTCTCTCTCTCTCTCTCTCTCTCTCTCTCTCTCTCTCTCTCTCTATTTTACTCTTCTCTTATCACTCTAATTTTTTACTCATCTATCTTTCTATGTCTTTCCATCCTTTTCCGCTTTCACTCTTCCTCTACCTATTTTACTCTTCTCATATCATCCTATCTTTCCTACACTCTCTCTCTCTTTCTGCCACTCACTCTCTCTCTCTCTCTCTCTCTCTCTCTCTCTCTCTCTCTCTCTATCTATCTATCTATCTATCTATCTATCTATCTATCTATCTATCTATCTATCTATCTATCTATCTATCTATCTATCTATCTATCTATCTATCTACCTACCTACCTACCTACCTACCTACCTACCTACCTACCTACCTACCTACCTACCTACCTACCTACCTATCTATCTATCTATCTATTTATTTATTTATCTGTCTATCTGTTTATAGAGAGAGATTGAGAGAGAGAGAGAGAGAGAGATTGAGAGAGAGAGAGAGAGAGAGAGAGAGAGAGAGAGAGAGAGAGAGAGAGAGGGAGAAATAATTGAAAGACAAAAGATAAAAAGGTGAACTAAGAGATAATGGAGAGAGAGTAATTATTAGTTAATCCTCTCTGGTTTTGTCAAAAAGACTCGTTTCAGCATCTCGACATCTTCAGTTCTGCGTTGGGAACGAGCCAACGAAAGCGAAACCAACTTGAAATACCGAATGAGCTAGGTTAAGAAGACCTAAATTCTTGGCAAGACTCTCAAAAAAATATTTTTGAAAAATCGGTTCTAATTTCTTTAATTGTGTTAAAACGTAAATAAAAGTTCATTCAAATGATAATATCCGTAAATTAAAAGTGTCAATAATTATATTCTTTTAATAACTGTTACATGTATTTTATTATTGGATTCCGTAATTTATAACTGACTGTGTGGAATGGAAATATAGTCAATCAAATCTGTTGAATTCAATAATAATAGAAAAAATAATCATGAAATAAAATGCATCCGTCAATAAATAACGAAATAAATTAATATTAAACGTATAAAAAATGTGTAACAATGAATGGTGGAGTCGTTTCTTTTAATTAAAAAACATATTGTACGTATACTGGTTGATAGGGTGAAGGGAGAATTTTTAATTTTTATTCACTTTGTTTTCTCTCTAAAAAAACGCGAAATGTACATTTACACCGAATTAAACGTCAACGAGGAAGAGGGAAAGTTCAGTAAAGTTGTGAGGGAAACTGTCTGGTCCGACGGGGGTGGCTCTCGGGGGCGCTAAGAGGGTTCGGTAGGTCGAGTGTCAAGTTAAACATAATTTATATCCCCTGGGCCTGTGAACAGCTCCGACGTACTAATCGGCCGGATCAAAGTTCTCCCTTAATCTTGATCCCGCGCGTCGTTCAACTTTTCTAAATAATTATCATGAAATATTTCGTTTTTAGATCTCCTGGGGCCTCGCTGCTATGACATCAACGGCGGATTATCAACGAATTCCTAACACTTCGTTCTTCTCAACTTAGAAAGGTTTTCAATTTTATAAAATCCACCCCTCACCCCATCATCCCTTCACTTATCTATTCTTCTGAGTTGTCTTGTCTCGTTTTAATTACTGTCAAATTGTTTTATTGGATTTCAACCTTCCTTCTTGAAATGCTCCAAAGCACGTCCAATTAATTTCTAACAATTTATAACCTGAATCTAATGAATCTCATAAATTTTTATCATTCTCGTGGAGTTTTGTTGACATATTCAACTTTCTTATTTTAGATAATATCTTAGATAATGTTAAACATAACACTAACTCCGTTTTAACAAAAATTATCATATTTACAAGAGTCAAATATTTATATAAAAATCAAATTATCAGGCATACTTTATTGCATTGATAACGAAACTTTTTTTTAAATTATGTTAATGTAATTAATTAATATAAATTTAAAAAACTGAAGTGGAAGCTTTTAAACTTGAAAACTTGAATTTTTACACCGGAAAAATAAAAAACATTGGGTTTTATTAGCTGTGAGCAATTTTATTTTTCCGATGTCCAGTTCTCTTAAAAATGAATAACGCCATTTTATTTTTATTTATTTATTTGCAATAAAAAAGTTATAATTTTTCCTTATAATGGTCAGCAAATATAAGTAAACAGGGTGCCCTTTTTCGATGGACCGGCTAAATTTTTCTTGAACCAATGACGCTATCAAATAAACAAAAAATAATAGTTTAAAAATTTTTAGCCTAGTTTCAAATGTTTACATTATTTTGGAGAAAAATTATACAGGGTAACACAAGCCGAGTTCAACTTCAAAATTTCAAATACGACCCTATACATTCTGACACATCATTTTAAAGGATTTTTTACGCTAAAAACAATGGTGCAATCGGATTTTAAATGGTACAAAATAACAAAGTTATAGCAAAAGTTTGAAAAAAAAGCATTTCGTTTGTTGCGTTGTTAAATCTTATAATTTGCTTCTTCACTAAAGTAAACAATTGCATTTATAGTTTACAGTTTACATTATGTCATTGTTTGTCAAACTCGCATTATGAGAGAAAATAATAAATTCTGGAATTCTTATCCAAAGGTTGAAAAAAAACCCAAGTTCGCCGTGGTGGGAATATTTTATTCAGTTTTGTCTATTACATGCGTTTCAAGCCTACGGCCCATCATCACAGCCTAAAGATCGAAAACCTCATGGCACAATTGCCAATTGTATCTTCAGAGGGTAATTGTGCAAGAGGTTTTCGATATTTAGATGCAAATGATGCTGATGTTAGACCGTAGGCCCGAAACATTCATGTACTAGACAAAATAAAATATTTCAACCACGGAGAACTTGGGATTTTTCAACCTTTGGATAAGAATTGCTACGAACCGTGGATTAAAAAAAAAAGATGTTATCTGGAAGTGAATTTGTACCTGTTCTACAAATAGAGGTGTCCGTTAAACATTAAAGTCCCTTATCGGAGGTTGTACTAGCGATAGTGGACAAAAAATCTACACAACATGGGTGTATACAACGACGATCCCATTTGCAGATTATGTAATGAGGAGGAAGAAACAGCCACTCATATGATCTTCGAATGCGAAGCAACAGCTCAATGGAGATTTAACCTAACGTACTATAAGCCAGAAGGCTGCAGTGCCTGAGGATCGCAAACCCCGCTTCCTAGTATCCTTTTTTACCATACCATAGGTTCAGCCTTTTGCCTGTAAGGAACTTGGACATTAATTACAATCCAAAGAAGTTAAGCAGTTTTAAGTAGAACAACCTAAATCGAAAAAGTAATTGCTCTATCACGCCCAAAAATGTTCTTTTTTTGTTTGCTAAGAAAAGTCGTTTAAGGGTTTTAAATGTTGGTAAAGACTGTTTTATTTGGCTTCTTTAATACAGTAAAGATAGAAACATAATTTAAAAAATTATGTAATTTACTTTCAAAAGATTGTCGTTCAAAAAAAAAGTTTCACTAAAATTAGTTAGATCATAGTTTTTAAAAAAACTTTAAAAGCAGGTTTTGCATGACAAAAAGAAATTACTTTGATTTTTTAAATCACGGAAACAAAAATTTATTTGCATGATTTACATAACGGACGCGTCCTTAGCTCAGTGATGGTTGGTAGTTTTGGATCATTTTTGCAATTTATCTGAAGTTGGTAGCAAACGATATATTCAGCTAAAATAATAGAATGAAAATGTTTTAAAAAAGCACGCTTTTTTGTATTCGACCTATGATTTGGAAACAATTTCGATTCTGCATTTTCAATTTAAAAAAATCTTCAAAGAAAAACAGTCTCAGCGTACAATTTCTATCGCAATCGCTTTAACTTTTCCTTTTCGTGAGAATCAGTAGTAAATCATATCGGTAAGGTATCATGTATCTGGCGAATTGCTTTCAACCAGACCAACTAGACCATAAACGTATTTTCCCCGTTAAAAATATATTACATGTTTAGGTTTTTCAAACTTTAATAGCGCGAATTGATTTCAAATTTTAAATCGATCTACATTTTGTAAAAATGAAATCTGAGTGTAAAAAGGGGTGTTTTATAGGTTAAGGATTTGGTCTCTATTCTGTATTACTGTAACAAATTGAATTTAATAAATTCTATTTTGAAGATAAGTTGTTGAATCTATTTTCTTAAATAAAAGTATAATAAAATTGCAACATTTTTTTTCAATTTTCTGATAGGTTTTTTTTTTTTGTTGAACGTCTAACCGTTGAATAAGTGTTTGCAATTAAAACGTTTTTATTAGAATGGAGCGGTGTTATTAAACACGAACCCTTGATTGCGGGCTATCTTCATTAGTTTGGTACCCGGCCTGATCTAATTGCCGGCGATAAATTTATTTTGCCATCGACCTAGAAGGGGCCAAATCAGATTTGAAAGCACAAAATTCCTCTCATTTACTCTACTGACCTATTAATATGATGATCAAATTGTGTGGGTTTTGCTGATGATGTCACAAATTATTTTCCATGCTGTCCTTCACGATAATTCGATTTTTTTAATAAAATATGTGACTTTTTCGGATAGTTTAGAATGAATGACCAAAAAAATGTATAGAGAAAGGACAAATCGAATATGTATTTTTAATAAACAAAACCACATTTTATGGCTTAAATGAGATTTTTTAGGTCATGCGAACGTTAAGGTTCTTTATTTTTGTATTCTTTTTAAGACAAATCTAATTTCTTATCTCCATTTTGCACTCTTTATTTTTTCTCTCTCATTTTCCCTCTTCGCTTCTTTTTCTTTGTTTCTCGCTCGCACTTTGGTGCGCCTTTTTTTCGTAAATTTTAATCCAGTTTACTAACATGTTTAAATAAAAATTAACGAGTAGAGATCGTTTTTCTATTCACGAATTATATATATTGGAAAATGGCAAAAAATGCGAGCCTTTAGTTTCCAGTGTTTATCCGCGTGTAATTTCCTGAAAATGCTCTTTCACCGTGCATTGATTCATTGGAGAGGGAAATAAGGCGTGCGAGGAAACTGATGAATTGATTCAAATCGAAATTCCCTCCCGAGTCATTCCCCCTAACGACAGGGCTCCGTCACCCTCTCTGCAGGCCATTCATTTGCCCCTGAAAGTTTAAATGGCCTGTGAATATGAAATGTATAACGAACGTGCGGATCCTGCAGAAGAAGGTGAACGTTTACCAATTAGAATTTATGTATTCCTAAACCGGATGGAAAATGACGCATTGTAATATATCTAATTTCGAGAGGAAGGGTCGTGTTTTCAATTAGTCACTTTATCTAGAACTGCACCAAGCATATTAAGATAGGTTATAGAGATGATTCACTGTTGTTTAACTAGGAAGCTGCTTATTACTGAGTGTGATTATGGACCCAAAGCAACATTTATCTGCACTAAGATGTTTTATATTTCAATAAATTATGATTACTTAAGTATTAACTTTTATAAACCCGGACCATGGTGGCTGAGAGGTTTTGGAGACCGGACTCGTATTTGCCGGGTTCGAAACACACCCCACGGATTTTTAATGGAGAATAATATGAAAAGAAATGTAATCAAGTGGTTTGACCACTTGTTCGCAGCACCCAACGCATAGTTGACGTTAAATCATCCTGCATGACAAGAATTACTTTACTTTCAATTTTTTATACCTTTAGACCAAAGCTCAATTGGAGAGTACATTGTGAGAACTTATGCAAATATCTCCTTGTTTCTTCTTACATGTCTCATAAATTTCAACGTTCGTAGCCTCAATTCTGCCATCACCTCCTACTTTAAGCTTAAAAAATGGTGCGTCGGAATTCAATTAGTGCATGCGTTTAATAAATTACGGAACGACAGACGGCTATCATACTCAATAGCATCCTTTCCAACATCTACTATCTTATCATCAAATCCACCAGATTTTTTTTGATCCAGGGCCATGCACTTTTCCCCCATCTTTCTAATTAACGCTGGTGTCTCTTAAATAGTACCCAAGGCACCTTCCGCTAATCAATCTAGTCCTATGGTACTCTTACAGATGATACAACGATGGTACCTTCCATTCTGATCGTGTCTTCACCCACAGAAACCTTAAATCTCACATTTCCTTAGAGAAGGAGAGGCACGAAAACTTGACCATAAAGATAAACGAGACCAAATGTAAATTTAAGGAATACAATTTAACAGTTTATAATGCAATAGGGGGCGTCGGTGGCCGCAACGGTTTAGGCGTTGACATGGAGCTCATCACTGTAAGGCGAAGGTCCGGGTTCGAATCCAGCGACCCTGCATTCGAACCCGACATACTTACAAATGTTTTTTTTTTTTTTTTTTTTCAAAAACACCGGCACCCTGCGGGTTTATGACCTCTGCCGTTGCAAACCCTTGTTAAAACAAGCAGCAACCCCCCCCCCTTCAAATTTACCTTAGCTCACGTTTTCGAACATTCAATTGTTATTTTTGAACTGTAATAGAACGTTATTTAAAAACCTGGATATATCAACGTAAAGCATATTAGATTAAGAAGTTTTTGTAAAATTTGACAAGTTGTGGGTA